GTAGGAGCAATTACGTAAAATGAGATTTTCAATAAAATAAAGATTTTAATGAAAGAAAAAAAGTGAAACTGTAGTTAAATTCAGTCCGATTTGGAACAGATTTTTGCGTCGCGTGTGGAATGATGGCTTTTGTAGAAATTGGAACAGTTCTAAATAATAATCGTAAATTCGTTTATTGGAAAAAGGCAGGTTAGGAAAGATATAGTACACGTAGCATATCTTTATGTATATATCGTTAAAATATGAAAAATAAATGCTCTTCTGGGAACTGGAATCAGATTTAAAAGACACAGATTCTATTAAATGAAAATTCTATTAAACGAAATGGCATGGTAAAAATACATTCTGAGTTACTATTTTTTATTTCAGAAATGGTTAGGTCTCATCTGGTAATACTGGTAATACTCGTGTAAGAAATATTATACAAAAATCTATATTTTGAAGAAATATTGCATTATTTCTATCATTGTTATTCGAGCAGGATACAAAAGGAATTTTTCGTGCAATGTTCAATATTTCCACGCATGGCCATGAAAAAAATATTCCAGATTCCTGTTGAATCGATCGAGGCATGCGTCTTCGTCCGATCATCGAAGGAGATGGTTCTTTCGCCGAGTGAAATAGACGAGACAACATGAGTCGAACGAGATTCCGGAAATTCTACGAATTGTTTCCGCTCCCGTGAATTTCGTGCATGTCGAGCCAACTAAGAATATGGTTGACCAGATGTTCGGAATTGTCGCCGGATGGTAATCATCGGTTTTAATTTATGCAAACACCACCGACTGAAACTGTCGGTATTTTCCAAAGCAAACAGCTTTACCTTTCATTTCGTCTACTCTTTTCTGCGAAATTTCCAACATAAAAGGAAATTATTCTGCAAATTACTTCGCCTGATGTTACGAGAAATTTTAGCAATTTCAACAACAGTAGCTTTATTTGTTCTTCTGCGAAAATGAAATCTACGTTCTCGAGGATATTTTCGAAGTAAATGTTTGCTTTCACGAATTAAGTTATCGAATAAAAAATTAAGTACCTTTTACAGGCTTAATCCTTAATTGAGTTTGTAGAACGAAGAAAATTAAGAATTTTCTGGAGAATTTTGAAATGAATTTTTAAGAATTTACGAGTGTTCGTATAACGTTGCAAGATTTCATCAGGGATTTAAGACGAAATAATAACGGCTAGCAGTCGATGCTAATTTTGCGCTGGAATATCTCATCGATCGTGTTTCCCGAGATCTATTCCTGTACGGTGCAAAGGATATCTGACTTAATTTAAATTTAATTCGAGTCTGATCGAAGACTACCCTCAAAATCAAATTTGTCGCGATTTAAAACGTACTGTCGAATCACGCCACAGAGAAAATAGAAGCAGTTGGAGATTTCCAACATTCTCCAATCTATTAAAACACGGTTTAAACAGTTTCAAAAAACACCGTTTAATATATCCATACAGCGGATAATTAAATTCCAACAGTCAGAATGAAGTGAAATTTGTTTTAATATATATCAATTTATACGAATAAATCTCAGTCTAATCTTTATACAAAGCATAGTCTCGATTTATTCCGACACATTAATTTCCCTTCCTTAATTCAATTTGTCTTACCTTCTTCCAACATACTCAAACATCCCTAAATTTCTTCATCCTACCACAAACGTACAGCTTGTCCTAACCTAGCCTAAACACCCGGCTTAACCAAAATCCGGAAATTGTAAACACACGGCCAACCACTACAAACCAATCACGTTTACCGACCGCAACAAGCCAAAACACGAAGCAGCCGGCCAGTTAGAATATTCATCGTTGCTCCTTAACACCGTCAGCAGATCCCTGGAGACAGTAACGAGGGGCGTGAACGTCCCCGGTAGAGCACACAGTTAAACAATTCAACTGGTTCCCGAAGCTGACCGTTATTATCCAGCAGATACAGATAGAGAAGAGAGAGACAAAGCGATAGCTGAACCGATCCTTCGTCCTGAAACGAAGCAAACCGATTTCACGGTTGTCTACGTGTCGATGCGGACACGATCCGTCCCACAAGAAGTTCCCCTGGCGTTTCTTCCGTCGTCGCGAACCACTCGTCGCCTTTGAATACTTGAGAGGAATCCGTTACTGCGGTAACGAATATACACGAACCGTGGCAAATTGGCGAGATCTGACGTACAAGGGCTCACGTACAAGGTCGATTACGGTTAAGGGTTTTCTGCTTTACGCCGTGAATTTCCGTGGCGACGATTTAGGTGGTGTCGGGCCACGAAATCTCGAAGATGGGCGAAGAGCGAAGAAAAGGAGCTGAGGGAAGAGGAATTGGGTTTTGGTTTTATCGACCAATGATGAAGGTGGCTGGTTTCGCTTGGCTGCTTGGTTTTCACAGTGTATCGCCTGGCTTTCGGGGCGTGACAGTTTTGATTTGTCGCGAAAGGATTGCTTCGAGCGAGAGGAGAAGGGGTATTGGGTTTCTTTTAGTGACCAAAGTGGTAGGTTCGAATACGGTTCGAGCGTTTGATGTCACGTGGTCTGAGGACGTGAAAGCTTTGATTTATTGGAATAGAATTTTCTTTTCAAAGTGAGATGAAAGGATGTTGGACATTTTATCTTACATTTTACCCACCCTCCCCCTTCCCCTTTATTGTCCGTTATTTTATCTCCAAACTGTGGACTTTTATGAGAATTCGTACTTTTACGAAAATAATGAGAAAAGTAGGATCTGTTTCAGCTTTTTCCTTTCTTCCACTAGATTTTTTACTGACCATGCGTCAGACTTGAAAAACTATTAGTCAAGTGGTTTGAGGATCACACGACGTTTGAATTTCGCCGAAATATCTTTGAGACGGAACGAGAGGACAATTCCACGTAAGAGTTTTATCAAATTCAATGAATCGAAGTCACGGATCTCGAGCATTAATCCATTAATCCCTTTCGGCGTTTGAAATTTCATAATCTCTCGATTCCACGTCCCGCGAACTGTGAAATTGAAACTCCGGTGTAAACGAAGCAACGTCGAGGAAGCTCGTTGGAGAAACTCGCGAGTTTTTCTTCTTAATTAACCGTTCTCCTTTCAATTATCCCTCTTAATTGGCGAAATTCGCGTGAAAAAAAGGGCCGAAAGGAGCACCGCTCGCAGAAGATGAAAAACCGAAAAGGAAGCAAAGAAAAGGAGGGGAAAAAAGATGAACGTTTACAAGGTGGAAGTAAGCGAGGTTGTTCAAAGGCGTTGTCGCGAGTAGAAAAGACGGTAATTAGTCAGACACGGCTGAGACTTCGTCTTTACGAAACTTTCGTGCTGCCCCCCCTCCCCTCCCCTCCCCCCTCTCGCGCGATTTTATTCAAGCGTGAGAACAATCGTCTGGATTCGCTAGGAATGAAGGAAATTACGCGAACGATTCGCCGATCCTTTTACACAATCCACCGAATTATAGTGGTCCGGGCAATGACGCGTGAAATAGTTTTTAGCCGCGTTCGTGTGTGTGTGTATCTCGTTTGTTTCGATCCACGAACTGTTCCGCGGATCAGTTTCTCAGTGTAAAATAAAGAGGTTCGTTTCGAAATTTCTTCGATCCAAATTTTTAGAATTTTTCCTTTCTAGCTTTGAATTTTGACGACGGTCTGCCGTCTTGATGAATACGAAAATTTCAATCACGTTTGTCGCGTTGATGGAAATTAAACTCTCATCGTTTTCAGCAGAGCCAAATTTTAATAGTCCTCCGTCTTTCGGTAAAAACTAAATTTGCATGGTATTTCTATTTCGAGACGAAATTTTCATGAATTTTCAGCTGGGATTTTAAATGGCGTTCTACCTCGACCGAAAATTAAATCTTGGCTTTTCATTTTTTCCACCAGAACCAAATTCAAATGGCCTTTCATCTTGATCAAAACTGTATTTCAATGGCTCTTCGCGTAGATCGAAATTAAACTTTTATTATTTCGACAAGACTCAAGTTTTTTTTTTTAAATCCAAGTTTAAATCTACCTTGATTAACCAACTGGTAGAAATGTACCAACGACTGAAGTATGAAATTCGTAGCCAAGACTAAATGTCTAAAAATACTCTGTTATAAATATATAAAATACACGTGAAACATTCCTACGGAGAATTATAAATCGATCATTTTTGCCATTCTGCTGATGAGTTTCAACGTCGAAAGCAAATTTTTATGCTGTTTCACCCTAATGAATACCAACGCAACGAACATTTTTCTGCCCTCAATTTGCGTTCGAAGTTTCAATTTGTACAAACATTTGTACGAACTCTGTTTTATTTGAGTGCGAAATCCTCATGCGGGAAGCGAAGCCCGATAGCCGTATGTATTAATCGCCGAGTCGTTTTAACACGGTCGAAAGAGGGTGCATCAGGGATGGATAGATACGATTTCTCCCTGTGAAATAAATGATGACGCGTCAGTCGAGTTACGAAAAGCATTTTTGGTGGACGTTCGATCAGCGATAGACGTTCTCCTGGATCGGTCGATTGCTCGTTAATCAATCTGTCATTCGGGGCCCACAGATATTTCCCCTC